TTGCCTCTCTCCCCCTCACAGATATTGTTTCTTAGAGGACTTTGGCAGTAAACTTCCTGTACACACACCTCAGAGTCCATTTCAGGTAGCCCAATCTAAGACAGATTGAAAGAAGAAAAATAAAAAGACCTGAAGACACCTAGGTGTATCTCCATCTATATGACTGGATTTCCAGGAGACAAGAACAGAGAATGAAGGACAGGGAAAATCAAAGAAAACATAGAAATACACTTCCCAAAACTGATGGAAGAAAGACTGATAACATTGAAAGAGTCCACCAAGTATTTAACAAAATGAAAAGTATATATACACATATAGTATTAGTTGGTGTTCTCCAGAGAAACAGAACCAGTGTGTGTATATATAGGAAGAGTTCTATTTCAAGGCATTGTCTTGCACAATTACAGAGGCTGACAAGTCCCAAGATATGCAAGGTGGTCCAGCAAGCTGGAGACCCCAGAAGAGCTGATGTGGTAGTGTACATTCAAAGGTTATCTGGTGCAGAATTCCCTTTTGCTCTGGGGAGGTCAGTCTTTTACTCTATTCAGACCTTCAACCGATTGGGTGTCAGCCCACCCACATTGGGGAAAGCAATCTGCTTTAATACAAGTGAACTGATTTAAATATTAATCTCATCTGAAAACACCCTCACAGAAACATCCAGAATAAAGTTTGACCAAGTTTCTGGGCACCATGTCTCAACCAAGCTGACACATAAAATTAACCATCACACATATAGATATACTTACGGATATGCATCTCCTACCTTGAGTCTTTCAGAAAACCAAAAATATACATTTCCAGGGCCAAAATTAAATTTTCCATAAAGGAGTAAGACTCAGATTGGCACTACATCTCATCAGCAGCACTGGATGTTAGGAAGACACTGGAGAAATATTTTCAAAATCCTAAGGGAAAGTGATTCTCAACCTAGAATTCTTTATACACACAAACTACTTCTTAGGTTGAAGAGTAAAATAAAGATATTTGGGATATTACCATCAGTAATAATTAATAAAGGATGTATTCCAGCTAAATATGAGTCCTAGGAAAAAACATGGGATACTATAAATATGTGGATCAGAGAGCCATTAGAGTCATTAAATTAAAATCACTGTCAGCTGTTTTTAAAAAAAACAAAAGTATCATCTAAATTCTCAGGTGATCCCAACATGGGAAATGGGGTTGGGAGACATTAGGAGAAACCAGTGAAAACATGCTAAAATTTTTATCTTTATTAAGAGAGGATATGATGCTGATCAGTGGGAACACCGTGAGAACATAATGTCTTTGTGCGCATGTGTGTGTTTCAAAGTTTAAGGGTGAAAAAATTACAGTGAAAAAAGGACAAAGGCATAGTATGAAAATGCAAACAAAAAGAAAGCAGTGTTGTGTTCTTAATCTTAAGCAAGGTTGAATTCACAACAAAAAGCAGTAAGCAAGACAAAGACATTTTATAGTAAACATAATCCTCAAATAAGATGTATTGATCATAAATATCAATGACCCAACTGGTATATCATGAAAAACTACCAAAAAATATATAAGTAGACAGAAGCATGCTAATAATGAAAGACTTTTGATTGCATCAATTATAAACAATTAAACCACTTCATTCAGGCCATAGAAAATCAAGTAGATATAAAATAAGATTCTAGAAGAGCTAACGACCTAACTAATAAGGTAGATCCAATTAATATAGTGAAGTCTATACTTTAAAACCAGAAAATAAAGTGCAGAGAGTGGGAAAGACATTACTAAGCACAATGCAAGAATCAGAAACTTTAAAAGTAGATTTAATAAATATTTTTAAATATCTGCATAGCAAAAAATACTGAAAATCAAAATGCAATAACAAACTGAAGGCAAATAATTACCAAACATATGAAAAACTTTCATGTAGTAGACAGGTCATGTTTTTTGCCCAGCATCTATATCAGTACCACAATTTTGCTTTGGTGGATCATTCTGGCTCTCTGGTTGTGTTGGGCTCCCCGCCTCCGCATCCCAAGAGAGGCGGGGGAGCTCATGTCATCTACCTGGTCACAGGATCAAGTCAATCATTGGCACATGACCTATTCGGAGCCAATAAGAAAGAGCGAATGACAAGGACTTTTGTGCAAGCAACTGGAAAAAAAGACTCTTCCACTGAATTTGGTGGCATGAAGCTGTAAAGATGCAGCCATCCTGGTACCAAAAGGAGGATTAGCCTGAGAATGAAGCTAAAGAGGCAAAACTAAGGAATGAACCCCAGAGCCATATATTGGTGCCTAAACAGATTAGATAGAAATAATCAGTATTCTCAATGTCTTTAAATATATGTGGGGCGGGGTGGTGGGCAGGCAGAGGATAAACAATTAGAAGAGACTTTGAGGCTGAACTTTGATATGTAGAAAACTATGCAAGTGAAAAAGTACTTATCACTAGGTGTTGTGGGTTGAATCATATTCCCTCAAAAGACATGCTGAGGTCCTAAACTATCCACTCACACCCACCTCTGTGTATATGCCCTTATTTGCAAATAGAATCTTTCCAAATATAATCAAGTTAAAATGAGGTCATACTAGAATAGGTAGGGCCCTAAATCTAATGACTGGTGTCCTAATAAGGAAAGATTTGGAGATACAAAGACATACAGGAAAGAAGGCCATGTGAAGACTAAGGGAGAGATGGGCGCTACACTGCCACAAGCCAAGGACGGTCAAGGATTGCTGGTAACCCCCAGAAGTTAGGAGAGGCAAGGAAGGATTCTTACCTAGAGGCTTCATGGAGAGCATGGCCTGTCGAACAACTTGATTTTGAGTTTCTCACTTCCAGAACTACGGGAGAATAAATTTCTGTTCTTTTAAACCCCTTAGTTTGTAGTAATTTGTTATAACAGGCCTAAGAAACTAATATACTGGATAATTATTAACTTTAAGGAAAAGCAAAAAGTTGTACAAGAAAGCAAATGTAACTAGTATATTACACATCTGTTTTGAGTAGCATTTATATAAAAAGATAATGTAAAAAATCATGATATAATCATATTGAGAACATGGGGAGAGAGGGGGTGGCAATTACATTTGTTTATTTGAGGCAGAAGAATTAAATTCTTGCCTTCTATCATGAGAACTTTACCTCCTACTATGGGAACTCAACAGATAACGCTAAAGTTGAGAAATCAAGTAATATCATTATAAGCTTGGTATATAGAAAGATGGGAATAGATGGCCAAAGAAACAGCTAAAAGTTGAAAATGGCCTCCCCTGGGAAGTGAGACATGAGAAGTTGGGTGCTGGGGTGCTAGAGTGGATTGTTTTTTCATAATAAATCATGTAGAATTATTTGGCCTATGTATGTTATCAACCTCGGTAAAAATAAAAACAAAACCAAAAAGGAAAAATATGCAAAAATGAACAGACAATTCACAAAGGAAGAAACTCAAATGATGAAAATATGAACACATGCCTAACCTCAGTTAGCAATTAGAACAATTTAATTTAAAATAAACAAAAAATAAATCTAACAATATTAAATATTAAAATCTGCCACAAAGAGGTGGCAGAAATATAAATAAGTACAATTAGCTTGGGGAGAAATTTTGAAATTTGAAAATGTCAAGTAAATTTTAAAATGTGTACACATTACAACCCTGCTGATCCACTCTGGGTTGAATCCCAGGAAATTTCTGTAAAAGACCAGAAAAAGCCATGTTTAAGAAAGTTGATTACACTGTCATTCATAACAGTGAAAACCTGGAAAAGACTAAATGTTTACCAATTGATATTTATCCATGCCAGGTAGCAATTGTTTTATAATTTCAAAAAAAACTATGTGGCAATTAAGAGCAGTAAACTAACCTTACATACCAAAACACAAATCTCAGATAATGTTGAGTGAAAAGGAAATTTGAAGAACAATACGTCCAACCTATCACCAGTTACACAAATATGAAAACACATAAACCAGATGTTGTCTATGAATGTATGAATAAAAGCATGAAAACATGGGTTAGACGGATCCTAAATCCATGAAATAAGTTATTTTGGATTGAGGATTACAAAATGGAACTGAAGGTGAGTACAGAAAGAACACCCACTTCACTTGTAATATTTTAGTTCTTATATTTTAGAACTATTTTAAGGAAACATGAGAAAATACTACCAATTGTCAATTCTGGGTGTTGGATATTCAAGGTTTTTAAAAATGTTATCCAAGTACTTTGTATTTTTATTTCTCAAATTTAAATATTTTAGTGAGAAAGAAATTTCAAAAACTGATTCGAAAAGAATGCAAATACCTGAATAGTCTAATAACCTATAGAAGATTCCCCCAAACACCAGAGAACCACCCACTAAAAGCACCAAGCCCAATCAGTTTTATGGGTAGTTCTATCAAATGCTCCAGAAACGATGTTCTAAGGAAGCATAACCCTGATACAAAACAGAGCTAGATCATTAGCATTACAAATTTAACAGTGTATTAAATAAAAGAAAAATGCATCGTTTTGCTCGAGTGAGGTTTATAAAAAGAGAGCATTCATGATTCAACATAAGAAAGGCAATTTCTGTACTATATTGCACTACTAAAAAATGAAATAAGGAAAACAAATCTTAATCTTAAGGCTCAACGTTGAAAGTTCAATGGATGTAAAAGAAAAACAAAAGGTTAAATTTAGTAACCATTACATTATGTATTTTTTCAAATCTTTGCCAACTAGGAATAGAAGGAAACTTCTAAGTGTAGAATAGAGAGAGAAAACATTCCCCTTAATCAAAAACAATAGAGGCTGCCTCTATCCGGTGCTAGTCCACAAAATAAAACAAATTTTAATACTCTAAAGAAGAAAGTAAATGTTAGTAGCTGCAGATTATATAACCGTCTAATTAGACATTCCAGGTGCATCTGCTGACAACCTGTAAGCGAGGTGACTCTCCGCCCCCCGGTGCCCCGCCCCCACTGCTGGGCCTGCGCCCTTGCACGTACGCATGCGCATTGCGCATAAGCGTGGGCCGGAGGAGCGAAAGATGGCGGCGCCTTGTTTCCCTACGCCATTGCACAGGCATGTGGGCCGTGGCTCCTTCAGCGACGTGTACGAGCCCGCGGAGGACACATTTCTGCTGCTGGACGCGCTCGAGGCGGCGGCAGCCGAACTCACGGGGTGCGAGGAGGGCGAGGGTCCCCGCGGGAGAGGGCTCGGGAGTCCTGGAGAGGCGGCCGCGGGCGATCAAGGCAAGGGCTGTCGCCGCCGTCCCCGAGAGGAGGCGGTGTCGGTCCACTTGGCGACAGTTGACACCAGGACACCGTAACTGAGGATTTTTTCCGTGGATACACGTAGTCAGTTTATCGGGGATCTGTCCGCAGTTGCCAAGGTGGTGTTTTGGTTTCAGGGGCTCTATGTTTCGTCACCACGCCGGGATGTATCTTTTCCTATCAGCTGTTAACTGAGGACCCTAAGCCCCTGAGAGTAGCGATATTATAACACGTTCAAAAGCAAAACATTCTGAAAACGCTGCGTCTTAATATTACAACTTTTAGTAGATATCAGTGTCGCATGGCATTAATTTACTCAGTACATAAAAGCATCCTCTAGCAATGGAAGGGCACAAAAAGGAAATGAGGTTGTAAAATATTGGAGTAGGGGAGTGTATTTAAACCCACTGAATAGCATACTCAGCTATCTAGCAACAGCCATTAGCCCCATGTGACTACTGAGCACTTGAGATGTGACTAGTACTGAATTTTTCATTTAACTGTAAAAAATTTAAAGTTACATGCAGCTAGCTGCCTATAGAATATACCCTAGCTCCTAATAAGTATTAAAATTGATTTGTTGAAGTGCTCACATAAGTTTTAAATTAATAATATAAAAAGAGTGAATACTTACATTGTCATTTTTTAAATGAAGGAAATTTGGATAGTTAGATTTATGTAAAGATCAGGAGTTGAAATGGGTTTTCTCAGGATGAAACAAAGAGTTGTCAGGCTTCAAAGATCCATATTGTGTTTATTTATCCCTCTTGGTCAGATTTTTCCACGTGTAAAATGCCCCAACTATTATTAAACTAGTTTTTCATTGTGAACGATGGAACTTTTGGATTTACTGGAATATAGAATGGAACAGTACTGTTTTATAACTTGTCTATTACTATCAAGATATCACAGAAAGATTTACAAGCACAAAGTGCCTTGCAAAGTGTGCTGTAAAAGGAACTGATTTTGTTTTAAAGTCTTGGGTATTTCTGGTCTTGGAGTTTTAATTATTTATGAGGCCACAATAGTTATTTTCAAGTAGAAGCCGCCTGGTAAGATTCAACAGACCTTCCTACAGCACAGTAAAGGCTTGTCAGATGTGTAGAAATGGTTCCAAAAATGAGAAACCCCTGGAGTTTGTTGTTTTTGAATATTTGTTTGGAAAGTTAGGTGCTAGAGAGGCCCCTATATCCCATCAAACCTATTTCTGTAATGGGGATAATTCGTGCCTTTGATGTATATATATGATTATAGGGAAGGACAAATGCAGTAGAATCAAGAATTTATTATATTCAATAGCATTCTTAGGAGTATTATTAATATTCTAAGATCAGATACTCAGATATTTTCCCAATTCAGTGTAGAGCTGTACAAATATGGAATTTCTTTGCTGCTCTACATCTATTATCAGTAGAATGGGGGAACTTTTCTTTCCCTGGGATATGCTGATGGACTTATGAATTACTTCAAAGTGACAGAGAAAATGTTTTTCATAAATAAATATTGTAATAGTGTCCTATCATTTTAGGAAATACCAAACTAGAAGCTCCTTGTGTGAAGGGCTGATGTCTTCCATATTAATATTTCCAACCTAAATTAACATTCCATGGTTTATGTAATGTTTTATAGAAATTAATTGAAAGCTACCTGTTATATTACTATTTTACAGACTTAAATTACATACCCCCAAACAGTTTTGAACTATGCAGTATTAAGCACAAAGTGGTTGTCGGAAATTAGCTTATTTATAAATTTCTTTTATATTTCCATATATTTGTAGGTGAGGGATGATGCTGGAGAAACAGACATAAAAGTAGCATGAGTTATTTTCCGAGATGTGTATTTTTTTATTTTTTTCCTGGTACGCGGGCCTCTCACTGTTGTGGCCTCTCCCGTTGCGCAGCACAGGCTCCGGACGCACAGGCTCAGCGGCCATGGCTCACGGGCCTAGCCGCTCCGCAGCATGTGGGATCTTCCCGGGCCGGGGCACGAACCCGTGTACCCTGCATCGGCAGGCGGACTCTCAACCACTGCACCACCAGGGAAGCCCCCCGAGTTGTGTATTTTAATACCACTACTAATACTTGTTTTATTTTGTTTTTTTAGAGTGGAAATATGCCTTGAAGTAGGGTCAGGGTCTGGAGTGGTATCTGCATTCCTAGCCTCTATGATAGGTCCTCAAGCTTTGTACATGTAAGTATACAAATTCATCCACATCTTGGTCTAAGAGATTCACTGTGGATATAACTGCTTGAATGAAATCATTTTTGTAAGTAAATAATATGTATCTGATAGTGTCTATTTAAGCGTAGTAAGTACTCAGATGCAACTTATGCTTCCCTAAAAGTTATAATTGCGTGTTCAAAACCATTCCATCATACTGCATAATTATATAAGAAGCATAATAATTTTAGGTCATCTCTAAATTTGAATCTTTTTTTAAAATTTTATTTATTTAGTTTTGGCTGCATTGGGTCTTCATTGCTGCGCGTGGGCTTTCTCTAGTTGTGGCGAGTGGGGGCTACTCTTCATTGCGGTGCGCGGGCTTCTCATTGCAGTGGCTTCTCTTGTTGCAGAGCACAGGCTGTAGGCGTGTGGGCTTCAGTAGTTGTGGCATGCAGGCTCAGTAGTTGTGGCTTGCAGGCTCTAGAGAGCAGGCTCAGTAGTTGCGGTGCATGGGCTTAGTTGCTACGCGGCATGTGGGATCTTCCTGGACCAGGGGTCGAACCCGTGTCCCCTGCATTGGCAGGTGGATTCTTAACCACTGCACCCAGGCTACTGGGACCCAGTCCCTCTCTCTCTTCCTCCCCTTCCCAGACCTTTGCCCCAGCTTTGCTGGCCAAGTTGTGGGTCTTTCTTCCATCCCTTCATTGCATGGTACAGTTCACTTCGGCCCTTTTCCATCCATTCCCACCTCATTGCTAACCACACAGTACATTCCAGCCCCTCCCCTCAGAGGCCTTCAGAAGGCCTACATTGGTTCCCTCATCCCCATCCTTGTCCTGCCCTCTTCCCTCACCAGCTGGTTTAGAAGGATTTGGAATTCCCTTTGTTTTTTTTTAGTACATTGTACGCACCAAAGTGTCAAGCCAGCCGTTGATAACACCCATCACATTCTGAGCTGCCTCTTCACCATTGTGCAGGGCAGTTTGCCTCCCTCCTGCTTCCCCACCTTCCTCCCTACCTCCTTAACTTTGTACTAGGCGGGCCTGGGCCTGCACCAGCTCAGCATCTTCTCAATTTTTTTCATATTATTTATTATTTTAATTTTCTATTAAATTATTGGAATAAAAAAATGAATCTTATTTCAGATAAATAAGTTGATTATCAGAAAAAATTGGAAGTTAATAAAATTTCTCTTTAGAAGATTTGAGAATATAGAAAATATAAAGAAGAAAATAAAAATCACCTTGGTGGTTCATTGTTTAAAACAACACACTCCCAATGCAGGGAGCCTGTGTTCAATCCCTGGTCAGGGAACTAGATCCCACCTGCATGCCACAACTAAGAGTTTGCATGCCACACCTAAGGAACCCACCTGCCGCAACTAAGGAGCCCACGTGCCACAACTAAGACTAGGCGCAACCAAATAAATAATTTTTTTTAAATCACCTATAAATTTTACCACACATGGTCCAACTGTGTTTCCTTTATTTTTTTTTCATTTCCTATGTTTTTCATTTAATATTGTATGATGAGCATTTTCCTTTTAAATTTCATTTTTGGTAGCTACATAGTATTCTCCTGCTGGATTCATAATTTAATAAATTCCTTCAGATATGTGTGCATGTAAGTGTATTCTTCTACTCTTGGACATTATATCAATATAACAATCTTTTTCGTCAGTGTAACAAATCTGAGTTCTTTTTTTTATTCACCATTATTAAAGCATTCCAATTTTTTTATAGATCTACTTTATGTAAAAGGAGTAGAACATTCCTTGAATTTTTGTCCGTAGACACAGGATGTAGTTGGTTTCTTTTCTGTTTATAGGTGCACTGATGTCAACCCTGAGGCAGCAGCATGTACCCTGGAGACAGCACGCTGTAACAAAGTCCACATTCAACCAATAATTACAGATTTGGTAAGCTGTTAGTTCTTGTCCAGTACTGTAATAATTTTCTTTTCAAGTAAGTTAAGGTCAAGGTGATTTAGGTCAAAGAAACTTGAGTCATTAATTAACTTTTAACCCACTGAACAAAGTAAATTCTTGACTGAGATAATCCATCTTTTCCACAATTCAAGGGAACTTTCTCTTGGCCTGTATAGATCAGGTATCTTTCAGTCAGAAGAATGCTCAAACTGGCTTTAATAAAAAGAGTGAACAGTTTCAGGAACTCAAATGATGTTACAGGCATCTTTTTCTTAACTGTAAACTTCTCTCTAGTGGCTGTATTCCTCAGCAGTCGTTCCCTTCATGGTAACAAGACGCTTGCATGTATGTATCTTGTTTCTCAGCAACTTCACAGGGAAAGAAACACTTTCTATTCAGTTACTCTAGCAGAAGCCCCAGAATGAGTGCCATTTATATCAGCTTTAGTCATACGCCTATCTCTCAAGGGGCATTGGAATATGCACATGATTGGCTTGAGCCTGAGTCATAGTCCCACTCTGGCAGCTCGGTTGGGATAATCCAAGCCACTTGGATTGAGAATGAGGGGAGGTAGAGTTTCCCCAATGAAAGTCAAGGACATGTAATCAGATGAAAGGCAGAATGGGTCCTGGGCAGGACGCCTACAGAACCATCATTTTAAGTTACACATTGTATGTTTTTCAGTTCCAGTTTTTAAAACATTTTACATTATATTAGTAAGATTTGGATGATTCTGAACTTCTTTTCAGTTATAAATGTGAATGCCTTTTTATAAGCAAAAATCATAATAGTATGTACCAGGTGGGCATAAGAAATATAAAATGCTTTCCATGCTTCTTGACCTATATTATTCTTGTACTGGTAAGGGTATTGAGCTTTTCTCTTTTTTAAACTCACAAATGATTTTGCAGTTTAGAAGGAATTAAGCCAAAGATCTAAGAAATTCTGTACATATCACTAGAAGTTTTTACTGCCATTAAAAATTAGACTATCAATAAAGATAATCAGTGTGGTAATTTTACTCTTTAAATTTTTATTTTATTTATTTTTTAATTAATTTATTAATTTTTGGCTGCATTGGGTCTTTGTTGCTGCGCGCGGGCTTTCTCTAGTTGCGGCGAGTGGGGGCTACTCTTTGTTGCAGTACACAGGCTTCTCATTGCAGTGGCTTCCCTTGTTGCAGTGCATGGGCTCTAGGCATGCGAGCTTCAGTAGTTGCAGTACATGGGCCCTAGAGCACGCAGGTTTCAGTAGTTGTGGCTTGCGGGCTTAGTTGCTCTGCGGCATGTGGGATCCTCCTGGAACCAGGGATCAAACCCATTTCCCCTGCATTGGCAGGCGGATTCTTAACCACTGTGCCACCAGGGAAGTCCCTAAATTTTTAAAGTTGTTTCTTTAATGTGTCCATAATTAGTATTATATTTTTTTTGATAGAACAATAAAACTTTAGAGATACAAGAAATTCAGAATATCTATTTTTGTTAACAGAGGTAAGGGACACTTTTGAAAGTCACATAACTAATAAAGTGATAAATCCAGAATTTAAGCCCACATCTTCTGAATCAAAGTCGAGAGGTCTCACAGCTGTTTTATAACATGACTGGTGGTAGTCAGTTCTAAAGCTGTCAGAATCCATTCTTTCAGTAACGAAAGCTGACCATGATGTGGAGTGTTGACTTGTGGCAAAGAAGGTAGGAAGAGATAGGTATGAGCATAGGTATTGTGATCAGATTACAAAACTCTTTACATTTGCTTGTATTCAGAACACTGGACATAGGGTGTCACAGCTATCATATAAAAGAAAATCATTGTTTTGGTTAACTGAGTTTGTTCACAAAGTAGTACTTTCATTGTATTTCTTTTTTAGTTTTAGAAAAAAACCTTTTTCAAATATGTCTTATGCATTTCCTTACATTCTTAAAACAAAATGAACATAATTTTACCTTTTAGTGATTCAGGGTCATTAATATGAATATCAGTTATTATTCTGTACTATACGTGATAATGACTAAGGTTTATTCAGGTGTTTCTGCCTTTACATTAAGTAGCTATAGCCTGCAGTGATTTTGAGTTTTTATTTTCTCTCCTCTTTGTCTGTCTTTTCACTTGCTTTATGTTGTCATGTTTCACTGCTACCCATTGATAGCACTTTCCTGTCTCTTTTCATGTGCTTTGTGCTAGAATACCAAACAATTAATTTAGTTAGACTTGTATTTAAACTAAGAGTTAAGGGATTCTGAATAAGTGCTTCTCACACAGAGTACCTTTTGCCGTATGGATTTAAAACTTGCTGTCAGAGGCCTTTTTTGCTTACTCCTTAATTCTTGGGTTTATTCTAGTGCTGTGAGACTATTCAAAAGGTAGATATGGATGAGTGAGGGTTGCCTGTAATTAGATTTTATATCCAGTCCACAGTGACTTCTCATTTAAATCCATTTTCTTTTTAACTCCGTAATTTTCTATTTTTTTAGTATCAATTTGTTCCTTTATTTGAAGTCCAGTACTGAAATGATTATTAGTATATAGTACCTCAGGGCCATCATAAGTAATTACACAGCAAATTCTTTTCTAATTTCCTTACTCAGAATTTCTGGAAAATTACATTTTTGAATTCTTTTTACAATTGGGAAACTTAATTTCTTTATGGAATTGAAAACAAAGCTTTTGGCTATTTCAAATGTACTTCCTCACCAATGCTATTACTAGAAAGAACAGCAGATTAACTAGTCGCCTTTCTACTTGCAGAAGATACGCCTGAATTATGTTCCGCAAAATAGTTATCTGTTCTCTTTTTAAATGAGTAGAGAAAGAAATTACCTTTGAAGAGTAACAGGGTTGGAATTCGTGAGTGAGAGTCAGTGTGAAGTAATAATTGAAGGAAATGGCTTTAGGGGTGAGAACTCATCCGGATACAGCATTTTTACTTTACTGTGCCTGTGAAGGTATAGGATGACATCATCAGACATAAGTTTTTAAATACTTAGTTATTTAATTCAATCAGAGGGATGCTTTAAATGACATTTTGCCCTAAATATACTTTCTTTAAAGAGACATTTTTCTTATTCTATAGAAAGTTGTATCAGTTCAAATATTTATAAAATGCCAAACAACTGATGTTTTCAGGTCTCTTCCCACTATTTTTAGTCCTTTGTTTCTTTGATATCTAATTGTTTTAGCCAATACATATACAAGTAATTAAAGATGTAGAAAGAAAAATAAAATTCTGTCTTCTGATATTTTTGTCATTCATGTATGTTTTCTGTCATCTTGTAAAATATTTCCCTTGGTTATAGAAAATAAATGTTTAAGTTAGCAGCTATAACTTTAAAGTTGTGCACAAATCTATGCAGAATATGTGAGAGCTTGCCTCCGTCTCCTAAAAGTGAGCCCAGAATGTAAACATGTGAGCTTTTGAAGAGCAGAGTGTTCATTCTGATAAATAGTTTATTTTCCCTATGTTTAGGTAAATGCATATAATCTTTATCTGAATGAAAGTGTAAAGATATTTATCTCCATTTCTGTCTTAAATTTGGCTCTCTAACACATTTTTTCTAAAAACATGAGGGAGTATATTTAAAGATTGATTAGATGGATATCTATCTATCCATCTACTTATTTATTATTTCTGGGTCCAGCTTAAAATTCTGACTATTTTGAACATTTTTTAGGTCAAAGGCTTGCTACCAAGATTGAAGGAAAAAGTTGATCTTCTGGTGTTTAATCCTCCCTATGTAGTGACTCCACCTGAAGAGGTAAGACATACAACAAAATTTAATTACTAATATTTTCAGCTTTTTTCTGTCTAAAAGTCAAACATACTTCATCATATGACATCAGTCAGCCGCTAATAACACAGACTGCTCTCATTTTACTCGCAATTGTCAATTATTGGATACTATTGGTAGACATAGGAAAGGAACCTGAAACTAATGGAAATACAAACTGTGGTCCATATCTATTCTTTAAAATCCCATCCAAATCAAGCCATGGTGTTTAAATTCATGTATCTGTGTGTACCTTTATCATGAATAACAAATTTGCAAAAAGAAAATATTTTTAATCACCTTAAATTCACATAGGAATTATTTCTGAAAGCCTTAGCTTTCCTCCTTTCACAGGTGTCAGGAAGTGGGGGTGGGGGAAAGCAGTGCTCATCTCAGGTAGGAAAAAGCTATAACCCTGACATGCATCGCTGTAGCATTTCCAGTGATGAAGAGGAAAACTGCAGTAACCGTTTCCCAGTTTAAAGAAAGAATGGTCAAAGCAGACAAAAGTTTAGTGATGGACTAGCTAGCTTTCCTCTGAATTATTGTACCTGTTTTATTCTTTGATGATCACTCTCTGGCAAGGCTGATAAATATTACATTCACCTTTACCAAGATGGGAAGGGTCTATATTGCTGCTGTTACTACTGAGAAGTTGTTGCTCCCCTGACATATGAACTCATGTGAGAAGGAAAGTCATTGTCATAAGGTGAACAGCAGTTGAGGGAAATGCAGCTTAATAAAACTTTTTTTTTAATATAAATTTATTTATTTATTTATTTTTGGCTGCATTGGGTCTTCGTTGCTGTGCGCGGGCTTTCTCTAGTTGCGGCGAGTGGGGGCTACTCTTTGTTGTGGTGCGCGGGCTTCTCATTGTGGTGGCTTCTCGTTGCAGAGCAAGGGCTCAAGGCACGTGGGCTTCGGTAGTTGTGGCATGTGGGATCAGTAGTTGTGGCTTGCAGGCTCTAGAGCGCAGGCTCAGTAGTTGAGGCGCACGGGCTTAGTTGCTCCTCTGCATGTGGGAACTTCCCGGACCAGGGATTGAACCCGTCTCCCCTGCACTGGCAGGAGGATTCTTAATCACTGCACCACCAGGGAAGTCCCTGCAGCTTAATAAAACTCTTTAGAAAAGCACTATGGAAATAAATATCAAGCGTGACAAAAATGTTTTAGTCCAATAATCTCAGTCTTTGAGATCTAATTTAGGAAAATGATTAACAATAGAATATAAATTGTAATTTACAAAAATATGTTTAGTGCACCTTTATTTATGATAACAAGTAATATGAACTTATATATGTAACAGAAGAGAGACAGTTAAGTAAATCATGGTTTATCAGGTCTACAGACTACTGGGAAGACTAGTGAATGAGGAGGAGATTCTGGGAGCATGGTGAGATGAATGGGCTTCCTTTCTCCCACATTCCTCCTCCTAAGCTGTGTGTGTAATTATGTAGGTAATTGAGTGTGGGCAATGACTTGGGCTTTGTCACAGTTGCAACAGAGAGAGCTAGTGTCATAATTTCCATTAGCTGAGCAATTAGCTGGAGAGCAGGGTTAAATACAGCACAACAAAGATTTTCTGGAGCCTGAAAATATGTTTTACTATGTAAAACATTAGGAAATGAATTTAAAGATAATGTAGTCTCTGTCAAGACCTGAATCAGTGGTATGGAAACCAAATGAAAATATTTCAGTGCATTGAGCATGAAGATAAAAAAAGGAAACAATGAAGGTAAAAGTTAAGAGACTTAGAGGTTAGATCCAGGAGACATACAAATAATAGGAGTTTGTACATATAAAAAGTTGTGGCTATACTTACTATTACATCCCTCAACATGAGGTTAGGTACTGTTGGTTTGTACCTGTGACTTATAAAGGATCAGGGGAAGGCACAGCAAAGCCCAGGTAGTAGGCAGTCAGCAGACCACCGAACGTGACTCCTTCCAGAGATGAAAACTTCCCCTCCGTGGCCTGTGAGAATGTGCTTGTCGCCAGGAGATCCTCCTGGAGGGTGGTCTCTAGTGCAAGCAGACAAACCTGGCTGAGCATCCCTGGGGGCGTGTAAACAGGGTCCAGCACAGAGGGCTCCTAGTCCACACTGAAACAGAAGTGACAAGGGACAGGCTTGGCAAAAGCTGTCATCACCATGTGCTCTTTCCATGGGTAACTTTACCCTGTGAAACATCCAGAGAATGGGCTCCACCAAAATAAGGGAGTAAGCCAAGAAACGGGAAGATATGGGCCCCAGAAAAAGGGAATTCTTGGAATGTTAGAAAAGGGAAGTCTCCAGGATGAAAGGCATGGCAAAAAAAGCAGAGGAACTGATAAATTCCCTAGTATGATTAACTATGTGGGAAATTATATTGAGGAGCTTATGATAAATATGAGAATAATTTCAATTAGATACAAAAAATTAAGCAAATGGACATGCTGAATGCCCATCAATAGCTAAATAAGAAATGATACTCTAACACAATAAAATATTATGCAGCCATTAAAAAGGATATTGAACTATACCTGATCACATGAAGAGATTTCCATATGGTACTGTTGAGAAAAGCAAGATACAGGCAAGAATGTAGATATAATCCTTTTTTTGTAAAACACGGACAAAAAAGAAAAACGTGTGTGTGTGTATGTAAGATGGGAGGGTAGCAGACAAGCAAAACAGGAAAAGGGAAAAGCACAGTTTTTTTTTTTTAAAGGAGGTATACGAACATATTTCTCTTAATTGTACATGTATATGGTTATAGGTATAAAGAAATTCATTTTTACGGGCTTGCGGGATCTTAGTTCCCCAACCAGGGATCAAACCTATGCCCCCTGCAGCGGAAGTGTGGAGCCCTAACCACTGGACCGCCAGGCAATTCCCAAGAAATTATTTTTAATGGGGAAATATATGCCATGATAAATGAATAAAAGCAGAATGTATAATTGTATGTAAATAATTTAAACTAAAATGTGGCCAAAAACCATTAAAGGGATTAGGAAGAAAATAATTGTATTAGGGTTTAAGTTGTTTTTGAGTGATTTCATCAAGATATTCTTTTTTTTTTAACATTTTTATTGGAGTATAATTGCTTTACAATGGTGTGTTAGTTTCTGCTTTATAACAAAGTTAGTCAGTTATACATATACATATATCCCCATATCTCTTCCCTCTTGTGTCTCCCTCCCTCCCACCCCTCTAGGTGGTCACAAACCACCTAGCTGATCTCCCTGTGCTGTGTGACTGCTTCCCACTAGCTATCTATTTTACATTTGGTAGTGTATATATGTCCATATATACACTACCACTCTCTCACTTTGTCCCCCTCCCCGTGTCCTCCATTCTCGAGTAGGTCTGCATCTTTATTCCTGTCCTGACCCTAGGTTCTTCATGACCACTTTTTTTTTTTTTAGATTCCATATATATGTGTTAGCATACGGTATTTATTTTTCTCTTTCTGACTTACTTCACTCTGTATGACAGACTCTAGGTCCATCCACCTCACTACAAATAACTCAATTTCATTTCTTTTTATAGCTGAGTAATATTCCATTGTATATATGTGCCACATCTTCTTTATCCATTCATCTCTCGATGTATTCTTAAGTTTTAGAAACAATATACAGTGTTAAGCATCTAAAGATTTTTAATACTATATAAACTCATGGGTTTTGTTTCCATACTATAATTAGATCATTGTAGGAAAAAATGCTTCAGTGTACTTTTATGTAATAAATGGGTTCCTGAAAAAGGGCTGTAGTACTCTCAGTAATCTAGAAGACAGCCAGATACAGTGGGACATTTTGAAACTTTGTTTCTGCAAAGTAGATCTCTTATAATACAAGTTGTCCCTTTTAGTTTCTTCCTAATTGTTCTATATTAAGAATTTAAACATTGTATTAATAGTATCAACTATTATTAAACCACATTATTATGCACAGAGCACTGTTCTCAAACTTTAAATATACTTCCTCATTTATTCCTAAAGGACAAAAATAATTTTTTACCATTTTCCTAATTTTACAGATAAAACTGTTGTTTTTCTAATTTTACAGTAAGAGAGGAAACTAATTCATCAAGATTACAGACTTATCTGTATAAGATTTGGAGACATGAAGGGTTCTGTAAGGGAGTTTTCTCCTGTAGTGCCAGCTGCCATAATTAAATGTGAAATGGTGACAGATATTTAGGACCTTTAGCTTTATGTTGCTAATCACACAAAGATTTATCCCAAGGGCAAAAGAAAAAAAAGATTACAGGCTTATGCAAGGTCACACATGCTAGGAAATGATGGGGCTCAGATTCAGCTTTACTGCTGCCTCCTCATCAGCAGTAAAATAAAAAGTACATTCCTGTTTGGTGAACGTTACTTGTCAAAAAGATTCCGTTTTTTTTAATGTAACTTAAGTCAAAACAGAACAATCTTTCTAATTGGTCACAGGTAAGGAGTCACGGGATAGAGGCAGCTTGGGCTGGTGGCAGAAATGGTCGTGAAGTCATGGACAGATTGTTTCCACTGGCTCCAGAGCTCCTTTCACCTAGAGGATTGTTCTATTTAGTCGCCATTAAAGAAAACAATCCAGGTAATACAGACCAGTTTATCTTTTAACCACTTACTTTGCTGAAATCAAGGCTAATTATGTCAAAGACAGTAGTAACCCAGAATGTTAATGAATATAATCACTGACAACAGATAATACAGACATAACGTTCATGTTGAAAGAGGAGAGAGATTTTTTAGAGGTAGATTTTTCTGATTTTAAAGAGTATTGTCTTTTTTGGAGTGAGGGAGATTTTTTTCCCTAATTTATCAACTAATATTCAAATACAGAATATATAATCTTCTTAAAACACCTCACCCTCAGTTCACCCTGTGAATTTTCTCTCTATATTCTAGTCTTCATGTCTTGGCAGTTCTGCTGCATACTCTTTAGTTCATCTGAAGTTTTATCATGAAAGGTATCTCCTGATAGGATTTTTATATCTTGGTTTTCAGATTACTTGGTTAACTAAATCGACCATAATCTCTCTTCTCTTTTCTGTACATCTCAGGTTTGATTATTATCTTATATGTTACATTCTCAGCCCCTCAAATCACATCATAATTAACTAGGGTTTTCGGTTTGTTTGGTTTTGAGGGTTTGTTTTTGTTTTTTGTGACCCCAGTTTCTTGGTTTCATCTTTTTAGTGTTAGTTATTTGGAAAGAGAAGGTCTTGCTTTTTTCAGTACTCTTTAAAGAAATAAGCTACTTCATTTACTACCACTTTTCAATGTCAGTATATGATTTGCACACACCCTCGTTGGCATTTTTCATCCAAAAGGGAGGATATAGGGCAGAGATTAGAGCCAAGCAACTAAAAAATGAATCATTTACTGTAATAGCAAGTATAACTAACATTTCTGTTGAGTCCAGAGTAGGCTACCACTGCAAAGCAGTTATTCAGTCTGATTAGAATTCTCAGCAACACCCTGAAAATCCAAGGTGCTCTCATCTGTCTGAAGTCCAAGTTCACTTCAATAGAAATTACATGGTATACGCTATTTTCTTAGATAAATAGAATTTGTAAATAGTGTGTGTTTATCATCTTATTAAACTGTTTAGTGATAATATGTACTTCACCATATGATTTAATTGGATTTTACCTTTTGTTTTAATTTTCGTTTTAGAAGAAATTTTGAAAATAATGAAGACAAAAGGTCTACAAGGGACCACTGCACTTTCCAGGCAAGCAGGCCAAGAAATCCTTTCAGTCCTCAAGTTCACCAAGTCCTAATCTACAGTGTGTGCTACTGAAAGCTGCGTGCATTTGGCATATTTTGAAACAGAAGTCATTTCTTAGTTAACAAATAAAGTCAGAAATTTGTCATATAGAAAAAGGCAGAAGAGTAAGGCATTTCCTTTTACCCAGGAATCAGGCCTACAGAAATATTTGCACAAATGCAAGTAAATATATATAATATATATATAATTTGAATTTTATATATTACATATATGTGGAGAATATATAATAAATTATATTTGTAGGGCTTCCCTGGTGGCGCAGTGGTTGAGAGTCCACCTGCCGATGCAGGGGACACGGGTTCGTGCCCCAGTCCGGGAAGATCCCCCATGCCGGCGGAGCGGCTAGGCCCATGAGCCATGGCCTCTGAGCCTGCACGTCCGGAGCCTGTGCTCTGCAATGGACGAGGCTACAACAGTGAGAGGCCCGCGTATCGCAAAAAAAATATATATATATATATATATGTATATTTGTATATGAAGAGGATGTTCATTTCAGCATTACTTGTAATGGCAAAACAATGAAGTTAACTTAAATGTCCATCAGCAAAGGGATTGGTAAAATAAATTACAGTATGTTCATGTTACTGAACATGAGTGACATATCCAGCCATTAAACACAAGTAAGTTCTGTATATACTGAACCAGAAGAGGTTCATGATGTACTACTGAGTAGTGAAAAAAATCAAGTTGCAAAATAGTACTAACCTATATGTATATTTTTGAAAAACTAACAGAGAAAGTTTGTGTGTATGTGTATATAAGAAATTCTCAAAAGGTAAATAACAGGTGGGAATAGAGGAACTTTCATTCTTTTGTGTTGGCATTTGTACAATCATAGTGTATTCTGTAATTAAACACAATCGTTTATTTAAAATGTTGTAAGTTTACCTTTACTTATTGTCTCCATTCTCTTTCTATTATTTAGAATGGCTTCTTCCTCCATTCTTCTCCTTGGTCACGTTTTTCCTACTTTTTATCCTCTATCATATATTTCTGTTTTCTTCTTGCATATATATTGCAGACTGCTTTCATTTTTTTCTTAGGTCTGGGAGAGTTGTATGTAAATAAACCCAGCACTCAAATTAATCACATTTTTAAGAGCCCACATGTATCTTTCAAGAAATGTCAAATTACCTTTACTAAATTTAGGAACCTCTTCTGTAACTTCCCCACCATTTAAAATATACAGTTGACCCTTGAACAACATGGGTTTGAACTGTACGGGCCCACTTATACACAGATCTTTTTCAATAAAGACACACTACAGTATTTCACAATCAGTGGTTGGTTGAAGCCATGGATGCCATGGAGGGCTGACTGTAGAGTTATATGTGGATTTTTGACTGTGAGGGGGGTCAGTGCCCTAACCCCGGTGTTGTTCAAGGGTCAGCTGTATTTATCAAAATCAATTAGCAGGACTGTGTAGGACCAGAGTGAGAGCAATCTATAATTTTTTAATTTGGCTACATTCAGAATCACCTGAGGAAGTTGAAGATTATGCATTCCTAAGCCCCACCATAAACCCATGGAATATTCTGCTGACCAGACCTAAAAACTGTATTTTTTAAAATGTACTTCTCAACATTCTTTAGTCACCCTGTCAAATTTTAGAACTATTGCTTTAGACGGCATGCTCATTTAATCCTTTGGACAATCCACAGAAAGAATAGAATTATCCACCTTTGATGTTCAGAAAGGTTAAATAATTTGTTCAAAGAAGCACAGTAGTAAAGAGTGAAAACAGTATGGCAACATTTCAAACACAGATCTGACTCCAAATCTGTCTTTTTCTTTGTTTATGCTGCTTTCAGCAGCAAAAGTGTCAAAATTAGTATTATCTTAAATCTGATATCTGTAAATAAATTTCCATTCCCAGAAACAGTGCCATCTGAATGAAGTCTTATAGTAAATAACCTCTTGTATCCCAGGAGAAAAAAAAATTAACCTTAGAATTTTATTGTGGGCTCTTAGTCATAGCTTTGGGGAATGAGGTCCTGAATACTTTTTCAAATAATGTTTGAAATACTTTTAAATGAGTATAAAGGACTTCTATCAACATAGGAAACTAAACATAGAAATGCTATGTAAAACACCAAGGACTTCACATACGTAGCTGTTGCAAACTGAATTGTGTCTCCCCCGCTACCCCACCCCTGTCACCACCACCCAATGCATGTGTTGAAGCCCTAATCCCCTCTTACCTCAGAATATGACTGTATTTAGAGATAGGGCCTTAAGAGAGGTAGTTAAATAAAAAGGCCATTAGGGTGGGCCCTAATCCAATCTGGTGTTCTTTTTTTTTCTTACTGGGGCATAGTTATTTTACAATGTTGTTAGTTTCTGCTGTACAGTGAAGTGGAGTTCCCTGTGCTATACAGCAGGTTCTCATTAGTTATCTGTTTTATACATATTAGTGTATGTATGTCAATCCAAATTTCCCAATTCATCCCACCCCCCCTTTCCCCCTTGGTGTCCATGCATTTGTTCTCTACATCTGTGTCTCTATTTCTGCCTTGCAAACCTGTTCATCTGTACCATTTTTCTAGATTCCACATATATGTGTTAATATATGATATTTGTTTTTCTTTTTCTGACTTACTTCACTCATACGACAGTCTCTAGGTCCATCCATGTCTCTACAAATGACCCAATTTTGTTCCTTTTTATGGCTAATATTCCATTGTATGTATGCACCACATCGTCTTTATCCATTCGTCTGTCGATGGACATCCATTCGTCTGTCGATGAAGGACATTTGCTTCCATGACCTGGCTATTGTAAATAGTGCTGCAGTGAACATTGGGGTGCATGTGTGACTGGTGTCCTTATAAGGAAAGGAGATTAAAAAACATCAGGAATGCTTGCACACAGAGGAAAGACACAGTGAGGACACAGAAGGTGGCCACCTTCAGGCCAAGGAAAGGTCTGAGGAGAAAACAACCTGCTTCTACCTTGATCTTGGACTCCTAGACTCCAGAACAGTGAGGAAATAAATGTCTGCTGTTTAAGCCATTCATCCTGTGTTATTTTGTCATGGCAACCCTAGCAAGCTAATAGCCAAAGACAGGGAAATACCCATATTCTGCAAACAGTCAATTACAGCAGAGGGAAAAAATTAACTCAGAATTGGTCACCCAAGGAATGCAGATACTGGAATTGTTATATAGAATGTTTGAAATATTTAGAGCTAACATAGTCACGAAGGAGACACACAAGAAGATACTGTTTGGAAAGAAGAAATTCAAGGCAACTTTTAAAAATGAGAAGTAGAATTCCTGAAATCAAAAGCCACTATTGGGACTTCCCTGGTGGTGCAATTGTTAAGAATCTGCCTGCCAATGCAGGGGACATGGGTTCAAGCCCTGGTCTGGGAAGATCCCACATGCCATGGAGCAACTAAGCCCACATGCTGCAACTACTGAAGCCTGCGCGCCTAGAGCCTGTACTCCGCAACAAGAGAAGCCACTGCAATGAGAAGCCCATACACTGCAATGAAGTTTAACCCCTGCTCGCTGCAACTAGAGAAAGCCCGCACACAGCAACAAAGACACAATGCAGCCAAAAATAAATAAATAAATAAAATTTTTTTAAAAAGCCACTGTGGAGAGGGTAAAAAAGATAGCTAACAAGAGAGTTAATGAACTGAAAGAAACTCACAGAATGTAGCTCTGAGAGACAAAAAGAGAAAACATGAAGAAAAATAATGATTATGGAGGATAGAATGCAAAGGTCTAGCAAAACAAGAATCCCAAAAAGAATGTAAGAAAGAGACTGTTTGGAAAGGTAATGGCTAATGTTTTTCCTGAACTGACCTTTTAAAAAGAAGATGAGGCCTCTCTCATCTTCTGAGATGGACCACACTCTGTCTTTGGAGTGTGTATCTCCCTGAATAAACCTTTCACTTTACTATGGCTCGCTCTTGGATTCTTTCCTGCAACAATGTGAAGAAATCAGGAAAATATAGACCATAACCAGGGGAAAATCAATCAGTAGAAACAGACCCAACAATGATAGATTATAAACTACTAAACAAGGACTTTAAGATAGTTATTATAAATATTATGAGTAAGTACAAAGATATAAAGAAAAACTTGAATATAATGAGAAGTAAACATTTTAAAAGAACTAAGCGGAACTTCTAAAGATCAAAAATATGATATCTGAAGTAAAATTATCACTACAAGGGATTAGCAGAGGAAAAGATCAGTGAATGAGAACACAGTGACAGCACGATCCAAATACAAAAATGGAGATTTAAAACCAAACAAAAAACACTGAAAATATAGGAACAAAACCTCAGTGATCTGTGGGACAATATAAAGCAGGACAGTATATATGCAGTCAAATTCCCAGAAAGAGAAGAGAAAGAGTAGAAGAACTGAAAAAAAAGTGTTTAAAGAGCTGATAGCCAAAATTTTTCAAAATGATAGAAATTATAGGTCTTCCCTGGTGGCACAGTGGTTAAGAATCCCCCTGCCAATGCAGGGGACATGGGTTTGGGCCCAGATTCAGGCCCTGGTCCGGGAAGATCCCACATGCTGTGGAGCAACTAAGCCCATGTGCCACAACAACTGGGCCTGCACTCTAGAGCCTGTGAGCCTCAACTACTGAGTCCATGCACCACAACTACTGAGCCCGTGCACCACAACTACTGAAGCCCGCATTCTAGAGCCCATGCTCCGCAACAAGAGAAGCCACCGCAATGAGAAGCCCACACATCGCAACGAAGAGTAGCCCCTGCTTGCCATAACTAGAGAAAGCCCGTGCGCAGCAACAAAGACCCAACACAGCCAAGAATAAATAAATTAATTAATTAAAAAGAAGATGAATCCTGGAAGCAAAAAATGGATAAAGGAGAATCCACACCTAGACATATAGTAGTGATATTGCAAAACACCAAAGGCAAAGAGATTTTAGAAAGCAATCAAAGAGAAGGAAGGTACACATCACTATAAAGCAGATGTTGACAAACTGTGTTTGTAAATAAAATGTTAGGACACAGCCACTCCGGTTCATTTCTGCATTGCCTGTGGCTGCTTTGGACTTCAGTGGCAGAGTTGAGTAACTGCAACAGTTACCATTGAAACCATATGGCCCACAAACCACAAAATATTAACTCTTTGTTCCTTTAATGTGTTTGCCAACCCCTGCTATAAAAGAGCTATAATTGAAACAACAACAGAATTCTTAAACAGCTACAGTGGAAGCCAGAAGCCAGTGGAGTAAGATCTTCAAAATGTTGAGAGTAGGGGTCCACCT